CCTCCTCGCTAGCCACCGGCAGCTCCACCTCGCGCGACTCCACCTCAGGGGCCACCTCGGGGGCGGCCTCGGCCTCCTTCACCTCCTCAGCGACGGCTGCCTCGGGCGCAGCCGCCTCCGCCACTGGGGCCTCTGGCTCTGCAACCTCCAGCACGACCTCGGCCTCCTTCGCCTCATCAACCACAGTGGCAGCAGCCTCCTCTTCTACCGCCACTGCGGGGGCCTCTTCGACGACAGCCTCCTCGGCCTTGGGGGCCTCCACCTCCGCCACGGATGCGGGGGCGGCGTCCTCCTCAACCTCGGCACTTGCGGCAGCCACCTCCGCCTCAGCCACGGCTTCTGGTACCGCTTCTGGTACAGCCTCTGGTACCACCTCCTCGCTCGCCACCGGCAGCTCCACCTCGCGCGACTCCACCTCAGGGGCCACCTCGGGGACGGCCTCGGCCTCCTCCACTTCCTCAGCGACGGCTGCCTCGGGCGCAGCCGCCTCCGCCACTGGGGCCTCTGGCTCTGCAACCTCCGGCACGACCTCGGCCTCCTTCGCCTCCTCAACCACAGTGGCAGCAGCCTCCTCTTCCACCGCCACTGCGGGGGCCTCTTCGACCACAGCCTCCTCGGCTTTGGGGGCCTCCACCTCCGCCACGGATGCGGGGGAGGCGTCCTCCTCAACCTCGGCACTTGCGGCAGCCACCTCCGCCTCAGAAACGGCTTCTGGTACGGCTGCTGGTACAGCCTCTGGTACCACCTCCTCGCTAGCCACCGGCAGCTCCACCTCGCGCGACTCCACCTCAGGGGCCACCTCGGGGGCGGCCTCGGCCTCCTTCACCTCCTCAGCGACGGCTGCCTCGGGCGCAGCCGCCTCCGCCACTGGGGCCTCTGGCTCTGCAACCTCCGGCACGACCTCGGCCTCCTTCGCCTCCTCCACCACAGTGGCAGCAGCCTCCACTTCCACCGCCACTGCGGGGGCCTCTTCGACAACAGCCTCCTCGGCCTTGGGGGCCTCCACCTCCGCCACGGGTGCGGGGGCGGCCTCCTCCTCAACCTCGGCACTTGCGGCAGCCACCTCCGCCTCAGCCACGGCTTCTGGTACCGCTTCTGGTACAGCCTCTGGTACCACATCCTCGCTCGCCACCGGCAGCTCCACCTCGCGAGACTCCACCTCAGTGGCCACCTCGGGGACGGCCTCGGCCTCCTTCACCTCCTCAGCGACGGCTGCCTCGGGCGCAGCCGCCTCCGCCACTGGGGCCTCTGGCTCTGCAACCTCCGGCACGACCTCGGCCTCCTTCGCCTCCTCCAACACAGTGGCAGCAGCCTCCTCTTCCACCGCCACTGCGGGGGCCTCTTCGACCACAGCCTCCTCGGCCTTGGGGGCCTCCACCTCCGCCACGGGTGCGGGGGCGGCCTCCTCCTCAACCTCGGCACTTGCGGCAGCCACCTCCGCCTCAGCCACGGCTTCTGGTACCGCTTCTGGTACAGCCTCTGGTACCACCTCCTCGCTCGCCACCGGCAGCTCCACCTCGCGCGACTCCACCGCAGGGGCCACCTCGGGGACGGCCTCGGCCTCCTCCACCTCCTCAGCGACGGCTGCCTCGGGCGCAGCCGCCTCCGCCACTGGGGCGTCTGGCTCTGCAACCTCCGGCACGACCTCGGCCTCCTTCGCCTCCTCCACCACAGTGGCAGCAGCCTCCTCTTCCACCGCCACTGTGGGGGCCTCTTCGACCACAGCCTCCTCGGCCTTGGGGGCCTCCACCTCCGCCACGGGTGCGGGGGCGGCGTCCTCCTCAACCTCGGCACTTGCGGCAGCCACCTCCGCCTCAGCCACGGCTTCTGGTACCGCTTCTGGTACAGCCTCTGGTACCACCTCCTCGCTCGCCACCGGCAGCTCCACCTCGCGCGACTCCACCTCAGGGGCCACCTCGGGGACGGCCTCGGCCTCCTCCACTTCCTCAGCGACGGCTGCCTCGGGCGCAGCCGCCTCCGCCACTGGGGCCTCTGGCTCTGCAACCTCCGGCACGACCTCGGCCTCCTTCGCCTCCTCAACCACAGTGGCAGCAGCCTCCTCTTCCACCGCCACTGCGGGGGCCTCTTCGACCACAGCCTCCTCGGCTTTGGGGGCCTCCACCTCCGCCACGGATGCGGGGGAGGCGTCCTCCTCAACCTCGGCACTTGCGGCAGCCACCTCCGCCTCAGAAACGGCTTCTGGTACGGCTGCTGGTACAGCCTCTGGTACCACCTCCTCGCTAGCCACCGGCAGCTCCACCTCGCGCGACTCCACCTCAGGGGCCACCTCGGGGGCGGCCTCGGCCTCCTTCACCTCCTCAGCGACGGCTGCCTCGGGCGCAGCCGCCTCCGCCACTGGGGCCTCTGGCTCTGCAACCTCCGGCACGACCTCGGCCTCCTTCGCCTCCTCCACCACAGTGGCAGCAGCCTCCACTTCCACCGCCACTGCGGGGGCCTCTTCGACAACAGCCTCCTCGGCCTTGGGGGCCTCCACCTCCGCCACGGGTGCGGGGGCGGCCTCCTCCTCAACCTCGGCACTTGCGGCAGCCACCTCCGCCTCAGCCACGGCTTCTGGTACCGCTTCTGGTACAGCCTCTGGTACCACCTCCTCGCTCGCCACCGGCAGCTCCACTTTGCGCGACTCCACCTCAGGGGCCACCTCGGGGGCGGCCTCGGCCTCCTTCACCTCCTCAGCGACGGCTGCCTCGGGCGCAGCCGCCTCCGCCACTGGGGCCTCTGGCTCTGCAACCTCCGGCACGACCTCGGCCTGCTTCGCCTCCTCCACCATTGGGGTAGCGATCTGCTTAGCGTTTGTTAGTGTTGACGGAATTTCTTGATGGGGTGGGTTTTCGGTCTGTGTTGGTTGTGTTTTGGGATGCTCTTTCCAGACCCGCCCAGCGGTAGCGGGTTCTTGCGTTTTCGTTTGTTGGCCTTGGTTTGGAGTGTCGGGGATTTTTTTTGGTTCGGTATTTTCTTGGGCTTGGGGGGGAGTTGTAAGGGGAGGGGTAGGCGTAACTGGTTTAGCTGTTTTGTCCTCGGTTTTTTTATTTTTCTGCGGTTCTTCCGGGATTTCGTTGGTCTGAGGGTTTTCCGGCTGAGAATATTGTGCTTCATTGTCTTGATCAGTTGGCTTGGTTGTCTGGGTTTCAAGTTTTGTTGGTGTTGTTTTCGCTTGGGTTTCCGCTTGCGCTATCCAAGCTCTCCAGTTATTTGGTTGGTTTGGACTGTTTTTCTGGATGGTTGCTGGTGTTACGCCTTGCTCTGCTGTAGTGTCGTCGATCGATTCGGGAGCTGGTGCTTGTTTTAGGTCAGGTTGTTTAGGTTCCAGTGGTGCTGCATGCGGCTCTTGATTCTCTTGAGTTTTGGGTTGAGTATGTGTTTCAGCAGGGTGTGATTCGGGGTGCTCAACCTGTGGAATCTATTTATGGTTAGTAAAAGAGTTGTTATTTGTTCGGTTGTGATGTGACATGGTTTTCTTCAATAGACGTAATTAACTTAAAATTTTGTCTTAATGCAGATGAAGATTTCTTTGAATTCTATGAAAAAGCGTTGTCGTTTAGGTAGGTAGATAATTTATGTACCTGAGTTGTGCCTTGAGATTCGCCTGCAGGGAAAATCTCTGTTGTTGGTGAAGACTCGTTTGCTTGTGTTCCCAGGAGCACATAGCCTCCTCCATCCCCCTCGACATCACGTGTTTCGATGTCATCTGAGTTGTCACTACCCAGTGACCTCACAGTATCGCCCTCTTCGTCAGATATTGCTGCCTCAGAGGCTCCAACGAGCACGCCTTGTGATGTAGGAGACTTCTTTTCACTTTCGTCGGATTGGATTTCCGGCTCCGTGGTCGACTGAGTTGGTTGTAGGCTTTTCTCTTCTGCTAATAATTGCATTTTATAGCGGTTAGAGTTACATTCACGGACCCGTGGTCACAGAAATTTCACACTACATAATCCTGTATTGTTTCGATATAATTATGTGTACGGGAGTATATGAGGTTAATATTGAGGCATGGAGCCATCATTGTCAAAGCCTCTGGAGGACCCAAACCCAATTTGAAGAGAATCAACACACCTGCTACATGTCAGGAAAGACTGAATGAGTAAGCATGTTCAGAATACCTGAAACGGTTGTCCCAGGCGTAGTCACTACAACAAGCTCCGGTGAATTGCTTCTTGATCGCTCCTTCGACACTAGCTCCCAGTTATCAGTGAAATCAGAACTATCCTTAACTACCTGTCCCTGTTCCGAACTCCAACCCTCCTTAAGTTCAGACTTAGGGTGAGTTCGTGATTCTATCAGAGGAACCACTTCCTCTACTCCGGAAGAAAGCCCTGACGGTACCACATCAAGATTCTTAATCTGCACAGTGGAAGACGAAGATTCCTCCTTCACTGAAATCTGTTCAGCAGAAATGGGCTTCACTGGCTCTTCCAATGGAACGGAAGCAATGTGTTCTGTGGCTGTGGCCTCACATTTCATTGGGGTAGCCGGCATATCAAGTTTCCTCGATTCTGTCCCTGAACCCGGTAATTCAGTCTGTGATGCACGAGTTTTGGGGGGAAGACTAACACTTGGTGTAAGGCGTCTAGATTCGGATTCGGGAGTTTTCGCTTGGATTGCAGAAATCGATATAGACCTCTCTGGAGCTCCATACTTAGATTTCGGAATCGTCACTGGCTCTCTCTGAGCAGGTGCAGATGACTGCAAATTCGCTTCTCCAGTCTGTGTAGAAGTTATTTCCTTAGGCGTCTCTTGAGCAGCAACACCTGCGACAGGCAGAGGCAATGAATTAGGTGATTCAGATGTGCTAGCTACTGCACCAGCAACTTCAGAACTAACATCGGCAAATGCAAATTCGGAAACAGATTTCTCCGCCACTGGCAGAATTGGAGCAGGGTGGCTAGCACTGCTAGTAAGCATTCTTGAGTCGTCTTCACCGCTTCCACTTGGCCTCGTTAAAATGGGGCTGCTTTGCAATGAGGCTTTTGTGGAAGGAGGTGGCGTGGTAGTTTCTGCTGCTGCAGGTTTTGACTCATCCTGCACAGATTTTGTGGGTGTAGAAGTTGATCCCAGCAGCTGTCCTTCAGATGCCGATGAGGTTGATATTGGCAGGGGACTGCCTGGCCCCTTGGACTCAGGTTGGTCAAATACGACATCGGTGTCGATGTCGCTGTCAGACTCGTCTTTCAATGGAGTTTTTTCCGGTGATTTTGATGTCTCCTCCTTCTGGAGGGATGCACCAGGATAACGTCATTAGAACATCGAGGTTGTAATTAGTCGGGTTAATATAGAATTCTGCTGTAAAAATAACTGAAAGCAATGCTGTTTTCAGATATTGAAACCAGATGACAATTCCCTACAGGATCATGAAACTTGAACATACCTTGGGGATCAATGGCTCCTTAATACCCGAACGAGAGGATTCGATAGCCTTAGCCCTAGAAGCCCTGTTTGAAGTGATGGAATCCCTAGATGGGCGGGGCGCAGGAAGCCTGGGTGTCCGCAATGAAGCTCCGAGGTCACGTTCGCGACTCGCACACTTCCCTCCTCCCTTCCCCATCCTGCAAAAATGTTCTAACAAAGAACAACACTCGTATACACAATTACCTTCGGCTAAAAGTTATGGACAATGCCCATAATAGTCAACAAATGCTGAAGAGTAAGTATGCAGAAAATTAAGGTTGATAGAGTAGATGTAGCACTTCGTCAGCATAAATAGTGGTAGGAGCGCTGAATTTGCAACTACCCCGAGACCATGACATGAAATGTCGAGAATTATCAATACATACTACAAAGTTATATCGGCTGAGGCGACGAAATGGTTCCCAAGTTAAAAACACAATCTACTTGACTGTCATCCGAATTAATAATTAGTGAGAAAATTGTTTGGATAGACTAAATTATAATTCACTATAAGGGTGGTAGCTGCTGTTAAAGGATCCTACGATCAGCTGAAATTAGCTCCCTTATTAGGGGACAATTCAAATTTATAAAAAAGTAGACCTGGTACTGTGTTTCTATATGAGCAGGATTATTGACTGTAATGTACAACGAAATGTTAGGTGGACCTTGTCAATTGAAATACCTGCGAAACGGACTTGGACAGAAACCAGAATGCTTCCACCAACTAATGAAAAGTAGAAGTGCTTGCAATGATCTAAAATACGAAATCAATCCTCGCAACTCCTTGCAGCTGCGTCCCTACCCCTCAAGGAATCTGTTGCGCAAAAGATAGACAGTTTCCACAATAAATTTCCGAACGATGCTGTTAAAATCAATAAGTAATGAGTTCTTCAGATACAAGGAAAGAGAGGAGGGGAGGGAGTGGGGATGTTAATGATCGCCGAAATGGACGCACAAGACAGACGATGTTTTGGGCAGGGTGCCGATTGATGACACAAATACCGGCGATCTGCTACTAGAGGCTTGCGTGAATAAAAGAGCAAGGTTCACTAGTGCGGTTAGATGTTTCAATTAATAGACTCGAAGAGTTAGGTTACGAATCGTACAGAAGCTTGGATACCCTCCTGTCGATCCTAGACAAATCTGAAATCCAAGCCTGTTGCGACAGGAACGTCCAAACAGATGATTTCCAGAGAAATAGGAGCAAGGCACGAAGATGGCGATTAGAACCACGCCACTCGGAACTTAACAAATCTTGTCACCCTCGCTTCTCACGATACCTCAACGCAGTCAGTAGCAATGCGGTGCATAAAGCAGATTCCGAGACTAAAATGAAGCAAAAACTGGGTGTAAAAAAACCGGCGACGAACAAAACTGGCGATCGTCAGCTTAAGAGCTGCTCGATCTAGTTCTTAAAACACTCTCTATCCTCCAACAATAAAACACTCGAGAAAGGAGATCATAAACTGTTATGAATCCTACACAATGCAGACACACGAGAAGGAGAAAAATGCAAAGCGCTTAGATAATCCAAGTGCGCCAGCAAGCGAAGATTGAACTCACTCACGCACCCACTCGTTCACTCGATCGATCACTCAACTGCAGGTGACTGAATCGATCCTAAAAGCACAATTACTAGCGGATCCAAAAGATGATCTGAGTTTGTGGATTGAATCAATGGCAGATGGCAAAGAGAAAGATGACGGATGCATCAGAATCGATGGCAGAGGGCTTTATTGCAGTAGCTCTGAAGATTTAGAAAATGGCCAAGCATGGAATGCTGGGATGATTCGGAGGGTTCGGAACCGGGTCCGAGACAAGGTCCGCTACAGAGTAAATTCGTAAAATTGTTGGGGAAATTTTATAAATTCGGTTAGAAACTTTCGACGTACGTATGAACCAGGCTGGACAGCCGCCCAGGCCGTGCTGGTGCTGTCGGTCTGCAAAGAGGAAGTCATATGCGAGGCTCCTTTATTGGAGTGGAGTAGAATGGTAAACAAGGACGGAGTCAGGCTGTAGGCCCCTTCCCTCGCTCTTGTTGTCCATTTCAACGGCCTCAATCTTCCTTATCTCTGTGTAAGGCGAAGGCCTATGCGAGGAGATCCTATCTCCTCAAATATAGTGGCCCCGGTGGGGTCACTATTCACCGCCCAAGCTGCCATCACCACTTTCTTATGCACCAGCATCGTTTTTGTTGGGACCTGCCGTACCCTCCTCCTCCTCCGACCTTGCTCTTGACATTGTCTCCTCCCGCACAACCTTCCTCCTTCCCTCTGACCCAAAACCCTTCCCTCCTCACTCCCCGATCGTTTCCCCCCTTCCCAACCCTCGCCCAATCTTTCCTGCTTCCTCCGGTTTTCAGCGCCGCAGGACACGACCTCCCTTTCCGACCTTCGCGCCTGCCTTTCGATTGGCCAATCTTCGTAATTTAATTCCCATTTCTTGTGAAACCCACTTCACCGTAAATCGTAACTTCCCGTCAACGCAGCAGCTCTAAGGCTGCAGCAACAGTCTTCAGCTTCCTTGCTCTTTATTTGGCCCCAGCTCTCTCTTTATCATAAATGTTTCAGCCACTTTGTCATTTAAAAGACACAGATTACGCCCATTCATGTTGTGGGGTAATAAAAACGCATTGCTGCTTCGTTTCTTAGGCTCATCCCAATTTTTTCTGAGCTCCCTAATTGCAACGCCACTTGGGGGGGGAATACTGTTGTCAACCTTCAATGATATGGGGTCTCGTCTCGACCAGTTTGACACCCAAACATCCCTTTTTCTGAAAAAGCAAGACAAATTTTCACATCCTATTCCAACAAATACACACAATTATGTCATAATTTAGAGTCTTAACCAACCCCAGTTAACGATGGTCAGTGGATTCACTTACAGCTACTGTTTCGATCGTTACCGGAAGCGTTCACACTAGACATTAGCCGTCTACAGCTTGTGCAGAGCCTTCGAAATTTGATGACTATACGCTGCATGGAATGTTGCTTGATAGCTATCTTTCGTACTCATTCTCAGAGTACGTTAATGGCTGGATTTAGTAATATTTTATTCTCTGTTTTATACTATACACGGTAGATGAATTAGTTAACCATTTCTATATAAAGCGACTTTTAATGGAAAGAAACCATGCCATTTAGAAAACTTATTCTCCAGGAAATACTTTGGAAAATTATATTTAACTCAAAATCTTCATGAATAATACTGGAGGGTGCCTTCTCCATTGGGTCTAGGGACACAACCTGCAATAATATCCTCCACCCTTGAATGAGGTGGCACCTCTTCATTGTCTTAAAACCACATACTTACTCTTTAACAATTTTCATACATGTATGAATACATAAATGTTGGTCACAGTTAAATTTTCTCCTTTTTTGTTTACACTTATGTTTCTTTTTCTTCTTCTTCTTCTTCTTCTTCTTCTTATCCTTCTTATTCTTTTTGATGTTGTTATGTGTAAGTATGAAACTTGTAGTTCTGTCATGTAAACAGTATGCAATTAGATGCAAGGCAATAGTATTCATCCATGCATCACATTAAAATGGTACTTGATGTAAAGTCTGCAGTAACTCAATTTAATGGATATCAGTGAAGATCAGTGTTGCAAATGTATTTGAAAAAAATCCTACATTAGGTGGAATCACATCTAAAATAATAAATTTAATAAATACATACATACATACATACATATATATATATATATATACAAGTACCACAAAATGAGTTGACAAAAACAAAAACAAACAAACAAAAAAAACACTAATTGACTTATTAAAGTACATGTTTTTTAAATTGGAATAAGTTTAGCTAAATAAAAATTTCCACATTACATTTTTAATACTGTATCAAAGGGTGTGGTTTCTAAACTTCTATAGAATGATGCATACAGTCAATACAAGGTTCAGATTTAGATTGATACCTATCTTGCTGAGCATGGAATCTTGCTATGAGTTTCTTGTGTTGGGAACCCTGCATTTTGGATCCTTCTTCAGCTCCCACAGTACAGGCCAAATTGGTTTTGCCAAGTCTCCTCACTCAAGAAGCCAAGCTGACCACCTTACATCTACAATGGCACAATAAATTTTACTTGGTCCATCACTATGGATACTACCATGTGTGTGTGTGCTCTTGAGCTTCAAAGCCTAAATTAATTAACCATTTAAGAATAATATATTGCTCTCATGTTGGCATGTTCTTGCTCTAAAAACAGGTCACATCAAAATTCAATGAACAATGTATTTTTTCTTGGTGGCTGCAAACCAGGCCTACAATCATGCTAATTTTGAATAAATGTATTAATTAGGCCATCTAGCACTTTTAGATTTTTAAACCAAACACTATTATTTTACACTGGATGCTTTATGGAGATGATTTGCTTCTACATAGCATTTAGAACTATGCCAACTAATCATGAATGTGCCAGTTGGCAAAATGCTCATTTGAGGATAATTGAATCATGGCCACACTAGGATAGCACCCACTTCCATTTTTCCAACTTTCCACTCCATAGTTTGTATAAATGCTCATGCACAAAGAAAATAAGTTAATAAATGAACATGAGCTTTGCTCCCAATAAGATTCCCATTCTTGAAGGTCTCAAACTATCACACAAAGTCCCCAATTCTTTGATGCAGAATAAACAATATTGTGTTATAAGGTTCCACCACATGAGTTGGGGATTTTGAAATGTGTTACGTTGTCTTAAGTCTCAATTTAGAAACCTTGGCTCACTGAAATTTAACAAATGCAGTAGAGAAGCTCGGAAATCTCTCTCAAGATATGAGTTCATGCACCAAGCACGTTGAAACAAATTTTCTATTTTATTTTATTTTTTTATTTTTTTATTTTTTACTTCAAGGACTTAGGAGAATGTTGTTTAGTTGATTGACCAAAAATACAAAAAGACCACTTGGATTACATTGGGACTCATCCAAGTACAAATCTTCATTTTGCGTACCCATGGCATCCAAATTGAGATAGTGTGAGTTCCATCTTCCAAAAGAAGCTTTGCACACCCATCTAGGTTTGCCAAAAGCTAATGTTGACAATGCTTTACTACCATGCTCTCATTCCCCCCTTTTCCTCCCCCCATAGATGGCTGCACTTCTACACCAAATTCAAGACTTATGTCTTTGGTGGGATGCTCTCTGTATCTCTCAATATGCTCTCCCCCAAGTTTGAATTGACATCAAGTATTCCCATCCATCATGTTGACCCAAGGTATCAACATGTACGCCACAATTCAAATAGCAATGTGTGGTCGGATCCATCTCCAACAGCTGAAGTGACCCAAAAATAGTTTGTATGGGGAAATACAGTTCATACTAACTCCAAGGTGAGTTTGTCAATTGATAGAATTCATGCTGCTTTTCTTGTGTCCATTCCATCCTGGGATTAATGTGGATGATGGATGTAAACAAGCATTTGTGGAAGAGCAGACTATGTGCACACACTCACACACACACAAATAAATTAACACATATATATATTTCTATGCAGGTGGCTCAACTGTGCACGTCTGCATAGAGCCAACTGTAACAGGTGGCACATCAATTTTTATTGGTGTGTGAAGAGGAACCAAGCCCCAGTCCATGAAATCCTTGGAAGGCTCCTTTGCACTGCTGGCAAGCAGCTTCAGTAGTGTGTGTAAGTGCAGAGATGGCTACAAGCAAGAGAATGAAAAGAGATATAGAGAGAAGAGTTATAATTGAGTACGTAATGAGAGCCTTCTGGAGCTATGACCCAGTCTTTTAAGCTTGGGTCAGGTTCTCCCCCCTTTTGCCATTGGACTCAGTCTGCCCCTTTGTTTGATGTTTGGCACAACAGTATGGTCTGAATTTCACGCAACATGGAAAAGGATATGTGTATATTATAAGTGTACTTCCAATTTTGCCAGGTGGGGCTTCAATATGCTTCTAGGAGATGAAAAAACAAATATATATATATATATATATATATAACATCAGAGCATTGTCTACAATTAACATGTCATTGTAACTAACCTAATAGATTGCCTTTTGTTTCAAATACCAACCAACATCAAAATGGGAGAAAAGGGAGTTTTTTTAATCAGTTCAATGAAATACTTACTACTTCATAGAAAGTATGTGACTAGTGAAATAGTTAATTTGAACAAATCCATCAAATTTTTAAGATAATTCAGATTTCACATTATGAAGCAAAATTTATGCTGGGCAATATTTCACAAGAAATAACACTGTCAAAATTTTGTATACAGGATGCTGTATACCAATACAAAATAACACAGTGATATTTACATACATAAATACATACACACATGAGCTATTAAATTCCATGGCTATGGGGTTGATTTAATCATGTCAATTACCTTTCAACCATTCTGTCCATAGCTGAAGAAAAGAAAGGAGTAAGTTTCTTGTGATATATTTTTATTGAGTTGTATGATTATAAACATAACCTATAAAGAATATTATGCAAGGTGTTACTTAAGAATTTGTCTTCTTTCTAAATTAACAACCTGTTCAATATTGCTCTTGATCCATTTATCTGTTTCTGACAATGCCATTGGCATGCATGAGGTGAAACAAAATTCAAAGAAAGTTTTTAATTTGATCTGTATAAAAGATGTAGCTAAATATGATTGATTGGCTCATTTGTTTATTACCCTAATTCTTTTAAAGAGTTACCTTAGCTTGCAGAGGGTTAAAGGAACATGTTATGCCACCTGTAACAAATTCCCATTCACTCATTCTAATTAATACCTGCA